AAATCATCATATCAAAAAAGTGACATATGTGATAAAATGATATTTTATTTTTTAGTGGTTGATTTATAAGTAACATATGTTACTTTTTTGTGATTAAAATGATTAATATGAGAATTTAGCTGGAGTATATATTATTTTCCCAAACATAAAAGTTACAAGTTGTTAATTATTACTAATTAAGAAATAGTGAATGAGTTTGATTATTGGAATTGAATCATTCTATCATCTTCTTAAAGAATTCTAGAAAAATAATATAATAATTAACTGATATTCATATTTTTCTTACATATAAGCACATTTTTGTACCATATCAATAATTATTTTATGGGGGTTAATACATCCACAAAAACTATATGATAAAAAACAAACTTTAAGGGTAGAAAATTAAATGGTTTATAATAAAAAGGGGAAAATTCCGTTTCAAATGTTTTTCTCCCATGAACGTGAAAAAAGTGAGGGCTTAGCACGTAAAATGTAAGACAAATGATAAAATGACAACTTTCTGCATATTTGTTTTCTTATTATCACATCAAGTTAAGAGGATACCTCATTTTATTAGGTTCGAAAATTCACTCCCTAGAATAAAAAACGAAGAACCAATGAAAAATAAACCTCTTATATGCTGTAAATAATTTCTCAAAAGCTTTTTTTCCCCAAACGCTGAAGGAATATTTGTTTTTATAAATGTCTTTAGAAAATATTATTTCTAAAATGAAAGGATTCTCGTTTGATCCTAAAACTAATATATATGTTTAAATGTCATAACGTGAAGGCAACTAACTTACTAACTTCTATTACAAACAAACCTTTTAATTTTTTATAATTTGTGTCTGGCGGTTTATACCTTGGTCCATTTATGATCATTAAAATATTTCCAAATTTCAATACCAACGAAACATTTCCTTATCGGTTATTAGTGAATCATGGGAAAAAGATTGATAGGGTGAAACTTACAATTCTACAATTCTGTGAAACTTACAATGAAGACAACAAGTATGTAGATTATCTACAAACTTAACATTAAATAAATCTATTCAAATTTAATGGTGGATATGTGTTTAGATTATTAGTCATGAATCATATAATAATTATTTTTCTAGGACTTCTATATTAGTGTTATCTATGAATAAAAAAGTTATTTGGCTGGATTAACATGCATGATAGAAAGTTTGACCATAATTGCTCAACTTCTTAGGATTCACAAGAACATATGTATATTCTTTCACATTTCAAAAGCATACAATAATTTGTACAAAATCCAACCTAGTCGATAAGAAAAAGGATAGAATATTAATAATATTAATAATATCTTTCATAAGTCAATATTTGGTATGTTGCTATCTTTTCTACTTTATTAGACCCAAAATATGATACATGCACAAATTAAAACAAGTTTATTTTCAATCAAACAAATGCAATGATGTCATTAAATATAAAAGGGTTGTAATCAATAAAGTTAAATCACCTTCCAAGTTCTAACAAATGTTGCTCCGCATAAACAAAGTTTAAAAATAAATTCACATATATAAAGAATAAAACAAATTCATGATATTCATTCATCAACTACCCACTGGAACAATCTTTTAAAATCGACCAACAATAATCATTTTACAACTTTTCAATCTATCAATGTAAATTAGACCTATATAATCACAATTGTGCACCTAATGAAAGGAGAAAGGGAAATTTCACTACCATTTCACAAAAAACATCTTCTAATTTTAGTTGTTAAATTTTATAATAATAATTCGATCTTTGGAATTCTAATGCATAACATGTTCCTACTCAACTCAATACCTTAGAACTTTCCTCTACAGAATTAGAGGGACCCATCTTGAATGATAACCATCAATGATTGTTTCACTTTCACACACTCAAGCTACCCTAACCAGTCATCCCCAATCTCCTTTACTTTTTTTTTTGCAATGGAAATACATTCTTTAATCTTTGGTATACCAATATCATATTATTCCCAGGAAAAATATATGTATTAATAATATATAAGTTTTATATATTAATATTGTATCATCTATCACTCATATTTTATTATTATTGATTCTTTAAAAAATAATGAAAATAAATTGTAGATGAAATACTGACTTTATATAAATTTTTATTCTGAAATTAAATAAACCCTAACGTGTATTATTATTCACCTAACATCCATAAACTACAGAATAAACAATAATAAAGTGTGACATAACATTCACTTCACGCGCTCTACTGAAAAGCTAAGACCACTTTTCACAACAGTAGTAGTTCTTCTCACCTCGTTCCAGTGTGGGACTTTAATTTTTAACTGAGACAGAATTCCAACATTATTCCATTATATATAAGAGAGAGAGAGAAATAGTGCACCTTCTTAGTTCTTTCTTTTCCTTATGCATCCAATTCCAAACCCTTCACAAATTCTTCATATTCTTCCATCATCATTTGATTCTCTGTTAAAACAAATGAGTAACAAGATGGACTTAGAACAAAGGAGAAAGAGGAAGCAACATCAGAAGTATTTGGTTGGGAGGAACCAGCTTCTAAATCTACCATCATCAAAATCACTTTTTCTTAGCTTCTTCTTATTCATCTTACTTATCTTCTTGTCCTTAAATCGTTTTTCCTTAATCTACTTCTTCAATAATCACTTCTTCACTTTTCACCCTTCTCTCTCACCTTCCACTTTATCCTTTCTACACTCTTCAAAAAGCAATTCCATTCTTGACCCTCAAACCACCACCCTCCACCCTTTTACCCTTCAACACCGCATCCTCTTCCCGGACTACCTCCTCCTCTTCCTCACCGGTCACCGTCCCAAACCCAATGAACTTGAGTGTGTCTACTACAATAATGGTTCAGCAACCGGTTCAACCGAACCGACCCGTGATGTTAATGAAGTTCAACCGGTACTTTCTACTGACCAATATGATGAATTTCGATCCATTGCTAGGTGCCCATTTCCTAAAAACATGTCAACTGCTACCACCGTGGATATACGGCGGCGCGGCGAAATGGGTCGCCGGGATTTGAACCAAATTGCTAAAAAAACTCAATCTTGGGATAAGGTGGCTTATGAAGCAACCCTGGATGGAGACACGGTTGTGGTGTTCGTGAAAGGGTTGAATCTCAGGCCCCACAAGATTTCGGATCCGATCACTTTCTGGTGCCATTTCGGATTGAAGGGTTTCAACAAAGAAGGTGCATTTATGCTCACAACAAAAACAGTTTCAGTGGCACAAGAAGTTGTGAGGTGTTTGTTGCCACCTAGCATTAAGAAAAACCCAGGTCTGGCCCGTGGAATTCGGGTCACGGTGAGCCATATGGTTGGTAATGCGAGGCATCCGGTTCGAATGCTTGTGCCTTCTGTGGCTAAAATTAGCAACCCAAGTGAGAGTGTTAAGAGGAAAAATGGTGGAAAGTATGAGTTATGTGTGTGTACTATGGTTTGGAACCAAGCTTCTGCATTGAGAGAGTGGATTATGTACCATGCTTGGCTTGGAGTGGAACGTTGGTTCATCTATGATAACAACAGTGAGGATGATATTGAAGGGGTGATTAATGATCTTGATGTTCAAGGGTATAATGTTAGTAGACAGGCATGGCCTTGGATTAAGACTCAAGAAGCAGGGTTTTCTCATTGTGCTTTGAGGGCTAGAGAGGAGTGCAAATGGGTGGGTTTCTTTGATGTTGATGAGTTTTTTTACTTTCCTAATGAGTTTCGTCACCGTATAGGTCAAGGTGGTGGTGTTCCTGGTGAGAATTCTCTAAGATTGATGGTTGCTAATTTGTCATCTTCATCATCAATTGCTGAAATAAGAACAGCTTGTCATAGTTTTGGTCCTTCTGGCTTGATGTTGCCACCCAAACAAGGGGTTACTATAGGGTACACATGCCGGCTTCAGAGCCTGGAGCGGCACAAATCTATTGTGCGGCCGGATTTGCTTGATATCAGTCTTCTGAATGTGGTGCATCATTTTCAGCTGAGAGAAGGGCTCAAGAGCATCGACATGTCCGAAGGTAATGTTGTGATAAACCATTACAAGTACCAGGTGTGGGAGAACTTTAAAGCCAAGTTTTTCAGAAGGGTTGCTACCTATGTTGTTGACTGGCAGAAGGATCAAAACAAAGGATCAAAGGATAGAGCACCGGGACTAGGAACAGAAGCGATTGAACCACCTAACTGGCGGCTGCAGTTTTGTGAGGTTCGGGATACTGGCCTGAAGGACTTCCTTGTGTCATATTTTGCTGATAGTGCAACAGGTTTGATGCCCTGGGAAAGGTCCTAAAACAGATACTAATCAGGGTGCTAACATCTTGGTAGTTGCTGGTACCCATGTAAAGCACAATGTCAATAACCACACTTCTAGACATTCATTCTATTAATTGTTTTGGGGACCTTTCTGTAACACAAATCATGTTTTTCTTTTCTTTTTTAAAATGATTTTATAGATATGAAACAGAAACAGAGTTTATACAGATGTATACTTGCATCAAGATGAATGAATTCCCTTTCTCTTTTCTCTATTTTTTTGCCCTTTACATCTTTTAACCCACAATGATTAAACATAAAGTATATATAATCCAGTAGAGGTACAAAACATTCATGCTGAAGGTTAAACTGCCAGTTTCAGTTTTGTTAAACTGCCAGTTTACAATACCATATTATCTAACTTTTTATTATTTTAATGCAAACGTAATTATTAGAAAAGGTGACAGAATATAAAAGGTCTTTTACTAGATTGAATTTGTGGCAAGGCCAAAACATGATTAACTAGATGTATCTGTAGGAATAATAGGGGATCACATTACATCTGGCTTTGTAAGTTTTCCCTGGACTAAGGATCATTATTAATTGGGAATTATATTATTTTTTCTGTACAAACGGGAATCTTATTTGAAACACAAGCAACCACTAAAAGTAATCCTAAAAAAAGTGCGGATGTTGCATACAACCGCTAGAAGTAATCTAAAAAAATGTGATTATGTGTACAAAAAGTTACAATAACTCTGATTTGATCTGACTAGTAATACATTTGAGCACTGCCTTTAAAATTGAATGAAATATACATATAGGTCAACTTAGGACTTTTATCCTTCAGGAATCACAGGATGCTGACCTAAATCACCACTAACCTAGTATTTCAACAGAAACAGAAAAAATGTTAATAATGTTTTAAAGGGAAAAACCTGAAGTTTTAAGTTTAATATTAACCATAAATCCATATATAGGATCCAAAAGTTTAAAACATGGTAAATCAAAAGCTCAAAAGTGGAAAAGAATTTCTTTTACAAAGTGCCTAATCTCTCCCAGTTAACTTGCAACCAAAACCAAAGATCTTTAGTCTACAATTTCAGATGTACACCTACCATCTGCAGCCAAGCAAGCTGCGACCAGCGACTGAGCAAGCTACTACCGGGGATGATTCCTACCACTCGTGTGACAGAGCTTGACAAGATTGGATCCAGTGACATGCAGCGGCAGAGAAGAACAGGGAGGTGAAGGGACCTAGTGAGATTCCGGTTTAATCAGGTAAGGGTTGATGTGGATGATGCAAAATATGGAATTTTTATGCTAGTTCATCTGAAATGAGAGTTGAGAATCGAAAAACTTTGTTGTGGTGGAAACACCTTCGTCTCGTCCATTATAGACGCAAATCCATTCCATTAAGGCCATGACATTGTTCTGTGGCGGCTATCTCCTATGATTTGAAAGCACCTCGTTATAGCAGCTTGTTTCGGTATCGTTATCTCCAGAAACTGTTTTGTTTCGGTTGCATCATGTGTTGCAGAACTGTAACATTCTCCTAACATGTTGAAAGCAATCAACTTAGACAGACATAGAAATCCACACTATAGTGTCTCAAATCCAGTGAAATATCACACACTTTTACTTATTAACACTGCTATTTCCTCCTTACATAAAATGAATAGCAACAATGACAATCTAATAATTATACTCAACTTTGCAAAGGTTTCATGCCAAAAACAAATTTTTAATGTAAAAGTGTGGTGGAGATTATTGAAGTACTGAATTCATGAGTACCAGATAAATTAATCTATTACTTAAGGTCTACCCAAATTCCATTAGATTTATACAACTTCTATTTAAAGATTTCCCTCCAAGAAACTGTGGAGAGGTAACTAACTTAAGTAACTGATTCCATTAGATTTATACATTTAATGAATACTAGTGCACCTCTTCCTGAAAATACTGTACTAAGCAGTTGTGATAGATGAAACATGGTTGACAATTTATGTTCAGAATCTGATTTCATAACACCCTCATGTAATGAATTTTTCCTCCAGTACAGAAAATAAGATCTCATATTCATTTCACATAATAGTCATATCTACTTTATTAACAGAACATGTAGAAAACACAGATATAATAATACCTAAAAGGCACAATGCATCAATTCCTCATTACTTATTCTCCTTGAGGATTTCCCTGCACAACAAAGAAGCATAATAACAAACAAAAGTTCAAGCCAGAATGACAAAGACATGAGAGAGAAAAATCTCAATCCTTCGATTTCAACTCATACTTAAGTTTCGAACCAAAAGTGTCTTCAATTATCATGTTTATTTTTTATTTCATTTCATTGATTAAAATAAGTAATCGAATAAGTGAGAGAAATAGAGGACCTGTATAAATGGAGAGGTACCAAAAACGACGTCGTGTGATAAACCATTTCAAACTGAAATGTGAAAATGGTGTTTGGGAAAGTTGTGTGTCTTAATTGAAATGAGATTCTGTACACATGAAAAAATCAATTATCTTACTTCATTTCTTTAGCTTTGGATATAACGCCATTTTAGGATACTCCGACACGTGATCAACCATTTACTGCATTTGGTCTGGCCCAAAACTTTATTCAAAGCATGGCCCAAGTAAAATGCTTGGATTAAAAATTAAGGCATTTGTAGGTATATCTAGTCAACTAACTAGTTGACAAAAATCAAGGCATTTGTAGGTGTTTGGTAAAAAACTTGTTCCAATGAGGTATAAATATGTAAGCTTTTATTTAGTAAGTTACTTTAGTTGGTCTGATTATATGAAAACAGTTGATGTAATTTTATCGGTTAGTTTTCAAATATTATTGGTTATGGGCTCTATAGTCATAACATGTTATATTAGAATTGAAGGTTCAGTTTGACTGAATATATGAGAATGATGTTATTGGTGGACCTCAATGTAAAATTTCTTATGTCAAGAGTTTCTTTGACAATATATTATGGTTATGTGACATGTCTTGATATAGACAATGGAGAGGGGCATTGTGGTATAAGAGCATTATTAGCCCGATTGCTAGGTAGATTGAGTTGCAAGTGACATCTTAAAAATACTCAATAAAAAATTATTCAAGAAATATATGGTTTGTCATGGATGTCTCATATTTCACTTGAAGATTGTCAGGAGGTGAGTATGACTGAAATGAGTCTCACATTGTGAAAGACAAAGTAAGAAAATAGGAAATAATATTTTATATTGTTAGTTTATCCCAATATATGATAGACTCATCATGGTTGTTTATTTTATGATGATTACCTATTAGTTTATCTTATGATACATATATCATATCCTTTGTTATTTTTTGAGTGGGTTTGTTATTAGGGTTTGGTGGTGTGCGTCATAAGATTGAACCAACATAATTGATTCTTGAGGGTACTCATAGTGTATGAGTTTTAAACACTATTATTATATTATTTATTCATTTTTTTCCAAAAAAGTAGAGATGAGTTTTAAGTAATATACTATTGTATATAAATTTTTTGATAGTATATATATATATATATATATATATATATATATATAATATTCTAACAATTAAGGATGATAAGATTATGGGCACTTTAAGTTAACTATACTTTTTTATATTCAATCATGATTTGATCCAGTTGTTTATAAGACTGTCATTAATTAATGAAACAATTAATTAATGAAAAAGTGTATCACTTGAAGGATTGAAAAACAATTAATAATTTGGATTTTTTTACAAGAAAAATCAAAATAACATATGAGATGTCACACTATTGTAGAATATTCTATGAATATGACTCATTGATACCCGTATACCCATTGGGGGATGAATCTACTATCCATTATGGATAACATTTTTAACACCCATATGATAGAAGTCCAATAAACTTTAAAGAACTTAAATAACAAATAATAAATAGTGATTTCTTTTGAATGATGCATTTAATATGATTTTATATCATATGACTGTATTTAACCTTGAGCCGCTGAAAGACACCATCATAGCACTATAAAAGTTGAAAGCTGTCAAAAAGGTGGCAACCACACAGCAACTATTACCAATGAATCATCACCACAGCCACATAGAAATGCAAAGGTGAATAGAAAGACGTGTACCTCATGACTGGGCTCCATTTTTTACTTATCCTCTACCATTCAACCACATCCACAACTTAGGATTATTAAATGTAACAAAATGTTACTAACATTTAAAACCATTATCAAAGGAGTAGCGAATATGTCCAATGTAAAACAATGTTATTAAAACCGTACCAGTTATCAAACCGGTCAGGATATTGGTATAGTAGTACAGTGGTTCAACTAGTGGTTCAGTAATTAAACCGCATGCCGGTTAAACTGGACATACTTGCTTATATATATATATGTAAACCTATAACAAAAAATTTCAAATAAGTAGATATTCATATTTATAATCCATATCCATAATTTACTTCAAATTCACACAAACAAACAACATTAAGTCTTTAATAAAATCAAAGTCTAAAGTGCAAAACATATATTAATCCAAAATTATCACTTAACAAACGCAAAATACAAATAAATGACTCAAGTATTAATCATTGAAGTTGAAGAATTGGTGAAAATTTGAAAAATTGAAATTTTTTAAAAAAAATTTAATGTACAAACCGATCGGTTTTCAACGGTTTTGACCGGTTCTATTGCATATGCGGTATAACATACGTACCGTACCGGTTAGAGGTCCGGTTCATCGGTTTTCCGGTTGAACCGGTCGGTACGGAACGATTTTTAAAACATTGGTGTAAAAACACTGCTCCTCCACCATCTCTTTATTTTTATATATAATAACAATGTAATATTCATACACCACCATATAACAAATGTATCATTTACTATTCATTTGTATTACTTTTTTACTTAATGATTAAAAATGAACGAGCATTTAATAATGGATAAGTTTTTTTTCTTTTATAATAATTGTTTTTGAAAAATATTACGTGCTTGCATTTAATGGTGTGTTTATAAGATTTAAGAAAATGAACATACATGTACATAAATTAACATACATGTTTCCAATGGACGGATATCATAATTTTCCAATTTTGAAAAGGTTCCATTCCATAAATACTATGGGAGGCACTAAATGCTAAACCAATATAGGACACCCATTTTGTTTGTCCTTTTGTGTTTAGATAAAGAAGGAAAATGAAATATCCTAATAAATTCTTTTATTAATCCTCTTACTTATAAGAAAGTGATATATGTCACTTATAAATCAATCACTAATAAATAAAGTATCACTTTGTAATATATATCATTTTTTTGTGAGTATAAGAATTACTACGAGAATTTAGTAGGAGAATATAACATTACTTAATAAACAACTATGACAAAAATGAACGGTCGTGATTGATGACATACCCCAAACGAAACCCTACCACTATTATCACAATTTCACACACAACAATAAGCATATCTCAACTATGTCTATAATAAAAAGGGCGAAACACACTATCTTTTTCTCTCCCATGGTAATTGGTATATAATAATCATAATACTAGTAATTAATTTCAACAAGTTCATTGTACGGCAGCGCCAATAAAAGAGACAAACCCTACAAACAAAAACCCAATCTGGATATATATATAATATAACCCTACAAACGAAAACCCAATCTGTATATAATATATATATCACTCAAACTTTCCCAACTCTATATTTTTCTCCACTGGATCTTACATAGACAAATCTATTGTTTCTTTGTTTTTTGCATGGGCTGATGTCTCGCACGTGCTCACAGTGTGGCAACAACGGCCACAACTCTCGAACCTGCACCGACACCGCCGCAGCATCCGGCGGCGGAGAGTCTCAGAGAGAGAACAGCATCATGTTGTTCGGTGTTCGAGTCACTGAAGGGAAGTCCAATATCTTCAGAAAGAGTGTTAGTATGACCAACCTCTCCCAATATGAACACCAAACCTCTCATGAACCCAACGCTGTTGATGCCGGTTACGTCTCAGACGACGTCGTTCACGCTTCTGGTCGCAGCCGCGAGCGTAAACGAGGTTAGTAACAATTATAGTGATTGTAATTATATATCTTAAGCATTCTATATCTATGCCTCAAATATATATTTGTTTTATGATGTTTTTGTTTGGTTCGGGGGTTTATTGTTGTGTGTTTGTAATGGTTATAACGAAGGTGTTCCATGGACGGAAGAAGAACACAAGTTTTTCTTGTTGGGATTGTCCAAGGTAGGGAAAGGAGATTGGAGAGGAATTTCTAGAAACTTCGTCAAAACTAGGACACCAACACAGGTGGCTAGTCATGCTCAGAAGTACTTTCTCCGCCTCCACAACCATAGTCGCCGCCGCCGTAGATCTAGCCTCTTTGACATCACCACCTACACGGTACCTTCTTCTTCTAATATGTGTAGTTAGGGAATAATTAAAAAACAAAGAGAAAACATGCACTTGTCTAGTGACAAATTTAACCGTAAATAACATCACTCATATACTTAGATAGATCTAATTTAATTGAACACTTTTTTGTTTCTGATTTTATAATTCAGGTGATGAAACCATCAACTATAATGGAAGAAGAAGAAGAACAAGTTGTTGAACAAGAAAAAATGGTGCCACATCCACCTACCTCCGCCACATATCCGTCATCACATTACGGCGCCTCCCCTGGCTCAGCTTTCCCCACGGCACTGTCTCCGGTGGTGTTGCCAGTGACTGAAGGTGAGAGATCAGGCAAGGCTATTAGGCCAACACCGATATTGCCAGTGCCACCATCTTCCAAGATGGCTAGTTTGAACTTGAAAGATAAAACTTCTCGTCTTCCTCTCATTGAGCCACCTCTACCATTGTCACTGAAGCTGCCACCGCTGCCACTATCCAAGGATCAGTCACCAACAACTAGTAGCCACTCTTCATCATCCTCAATAGCTTTTCAGCCAAGGTCTTCAGGGAAGTTCAATGGTGGTAGGGATAATAACATTATTAGTGTTGCTTGATTAGAGAAGGAAAAAAAGAAGACATGTGTGATTAAATTAAGGTTAAAGTTGGAAATGTTATCAAGAGTGAAAAAATGAAAATGATTTATGATATTGTCTGGTCAAAGTAGCTCTAGCATTAAAATTAGAATTTGATGGTTGTTGTTGTTGTTGTTTGTGGATTACGTTAGAGATAACAATTATTGAATTAGATAAGAGAGGTAGAAGGGAGTGGTGTAGGATTATGAGTTTTATGATAATGACTAGTTGGACAAAAATGGTTAAATTGTGTAGGTGATTAGGTGATTTAATTGCTAGTTGTAATGTACATGTTTAGAATAGCATAGATGGAGGGAAGATGAGTTGTCATATTCTATAGCTATTGGGGGGTTCTTGTTTCTATTTGTCTTGGGTTGCGTGATTGTTAAAATGATAGGCACAAGGTCCTCTTGCTATGTTATTGGTCCCTTTGTTGCGTTTTGTTTGAATGGATGATGCATTGGCCATTGAGTATATATTCACTATTTCTCCCACCT